AATACTTATTGCTTGGCAAGGGCAACAAAAGACACTCAAATGGATGGCCATGGGTAGAGAGCAGCCAAGGAAATCAATTAAAAGCATTTCCCATCTTAGCCCGCCTGACCGCCTTCCGCTGTTGCCATTGCTCCCTCTGATCCTGCTCCTTGCCGCGGCACCAATCGCCGTCGACGTTTATAATTTATGACGCCTATAATTGCAGCAATTTATGTATGAGAGTGTGTATAGCTGTGTGTGGGTATGTGTGTGTGTGTTTGTATGTGTGTGTCCCGTGCTCGTATTTGCACTAAGGCTTATGTCGTACAGCGAACCCCATTGTTGATACGTATGCCACGTGGGCGTTGCATGAGTTGGGAGGCCTCAGTTTTGAAGTTCACCCTTGAAAATGTCAATTTTGTCGTTACTGGCAAAATGTCTTCATTGTCGTCGTCGTCCTGGTGCTGGTTCTGTTTCTGTTTCTCGACGTTGCTTGATTGCACTTTTAATTAACTTTTTTTTTTGCGAGTGCCGGCTGTTGGAATTGTTGTTGCTGTTGCCATTGCTGCTACTGCTGCTGCTGCTGTTGCAAGTTGCAGTTGCCAATTGTTGGCACTTTGTGCTTTTTGTTTTTTTGCTGCTGCTCTCACCACTCATCGTTAACAAAGGCAAACAAGTCACGCATGAGGCCATTATTTATTGAAGGGACACGCCCAGCTGCCGCTCAAATTTAAGCGCCAGCAATGACAACAACAACAATCACAACAACAGTAAATGTGAATACAATCACCATGCTGCCACCACATCCTGTTAGCCCATTTGCTTGCCCACAATTTCGCCCACAAGCCCAATATGTTAATTCAATTTGCTTGATTGCAATAAAGGAATATTAAAAAAAAGAACCGCAACTTTGTTATGGATTTGCAGGGTGACTAAAGAGGAAGCGATGACAGGGGGCGAGTGTGTGTGGCAGGTATAACACCTATCAGCGGGGGAGGTGGAGATGATTGGCAGTGCAGGCACGCATGATATTATGATTGGAAAATGAAAATCATTTACGTGCGTCAATTTTCAGCCCATATAAATCAAATCTAGCAGAAAGATACTCCAGCCAATTGCAGCGACAGAGGGGGCAGGGGGGTGTGTTAGTACGGAAGATAGGCGTAAGTTGTGCGCTGCCCAATGAATCGAGCATGAGTCAATTAATGTGGCAACGTGCAGCGCATAATGATTGCGCAGAAAACGGGAATCAAAAGCGAGCCATCTGCTTTCAGACATAATCTGTACTGGTCAGTTAATGATTATGCATAATAGCCGGGCAGCATCTATAAGCTGATTGCTGATTATAGTCAATCATAATGATAGATTAACAATTTGAAGTAGGACATCAAATGTTAGACTGAAATAGATGAATAATTTTGATTTAACTGATTGATTGTCAATGTACATTTCTGGTATTAAATTCAGTTTCTGGCCAATCAAACTTCAAACTGAACATCTTGTGACAAGTAATCTAGAACAACAAAATGGTTAAAATACAATCCAAATATTAATTTTAGATCCTTATCACATCCTTAACTTAAACAAACATTCTAAACTTAATAAATATACTGAACAATATATTTGGGTAGCATTTTACGACTCAGCAAAAGTGTTAACTACAATCCAGACAAAAATATTAAATCCTTATTACGCCCCTTAAGTGTAGTTAGGCAACACTCTAAACTTAATAAAACATATCTAATCCCCTTAACAAACAAAAAAATGACTAGCACGCTTTTTAGCAAGAACAGTGCTTGAAAACAAAAATCCAAAAGCTTACTTTGGGTTTAGTAAGTATATTAAGGTCTCGGATACTTTTCAATTAGTAGCGTTTATTCTTTTTTTATATATATATTTATTTACAGTGCAAATCGAGTTAAACTCAACGGGGACTAAACAAGGGAAACCGACATTCAAAAGAAAAACGCATAAATGAAAACTAAATATTTGCACTGGCTTTTGGGGCCCTTGTTATGGCCATCAAGTGAAAAACAAAAGAAAAACGAAAACGAATCAAAAAAAAAAAAGGATCTGAGCCCAACATACTCTAGGTCGGCGAACAACTACAAGGGCTGTCTATGAGGGCCTAAATAACTAAGTCAATAAATCAATTCAACATAATTTTTCTCGGCTTTTTTATATCTAAGGTATTTTTTGTTTCTCTTTTATTTTGTTTTTTTCATTCTTTTGTTTTCTTATTGTTTTCGGGTAAATCCCAAACAAACAAGTAGAAAAACATTTGGCAAATGTTTGGCAACGGCAGCATGAAAAGCAATGATAGCCCCGTCATGACGTTGATACACATGGCCCAAAAGATACATAAACAATGATAACTGCAAAGTTTATCAATTTGTAAAATGGCGGCCGCTCAACAACAAAGCGAGAACAAGCAAAAAGACACAGCCAAATGGCTAAATGTTACATTAACAGAGACCCAAATGTGCAAATGTAAAGCTAACAGAGCCCCCACTCAAGCACCCAATAGGAAGCTCACGTAAATGGTTGCTGCCCATGCTAAGCATATGTAAAAGCTCAACTCGTTACAGCTTGTGTGTAATTAACAGTTCATAATTTAGAAATTCAAATTGTATATTTAGTTTGGGGTTAATCTTTTGCATCAATTAAATGTAATTCTTGCGTAAAGATTAGCGCATAATTCAACAAGAATCTAAACAAATTTTGCCACGATCTCAATCAGTTGGCCCAAAACCCAAAACAAAAAAAATTCAATTCAAACAATGAATGAATTGTTTTTGCTACTTGTCAATATGTTATGTTATTCTATTTTCTATTTGCTATTTTCCATTTTCCATTTTCTATTTGTTTCTGTTTCGATTGCGTTCTGTTTATTTTGTTTATAGGCCAGGAAACAAAAAGAACCAAACCGTAAAAAACATTGTATTATAAATAAGTACTATATTTTAGTACAACAGCGTGCGCTCTGCAACACACACTGTACACGTTTAAAAATATCTATACATAAAAATATACAAATTGAAATTCAATTTGAAATGCAAAACATGTGCCGAACTGAATGTACAATTGTACAAGTGTCAACTTTGATATGCGAGCGACTTGACTCAACCCGACGACTGACACGACCAAATATTTCAACATTTTCGAATATACAATATGTATATAGATTTATTTTTTGCACAAAATTAGGCAACAAAATTAACACCAATACCAAGAGGTCTATGTAAACAAAACGATCAACGAACATTAAGGCAGGCAGAATGGCAGCCGACCAAACAAAACATTTTTCTAATCAATTTAGCGCTTGCTCAAATTAATCACATCACTTTAACATGAATCTTCAATTGCGCTGCCGTTGACCAATGAATTGGTTAAAATGCCCAAGCAATAACGGCATTGGGGGCCTCATCTAATTTCGTTTAAAGAAAATGCTGGCAGCGTTTTTGGGTATATAAAAATAAATACTTATAAATAAATATATAAAAACAGTGAGCGTTGCCAAAGCTAAAGCACCTCTTCATCACCACACGCCCTCTCAGTTCATTCTCTTTTGGCCAAATAACGAGTCACACTAAGTGCAGCAGGGTAAACAAAAAATGAAAATGAAAATAATAAATATAAAAAAAAATGACCACCAAGGAAAATATGACAAAAATACTATAATAATTGAAATGCATATCTCTGGCGTCTTTCCATCTCATAAATGTATTTAGACTTATATCTCTTTAGTCGTGTGACTTGTCTTTGTTTAGGGACACCAAGATGTGCTTTGCCAATTTTAAATGTCACGGGTTCGAAATCTTGGAATGCATTGGTCAAACCGCATTCATTGGGTGCTACTGATACCACAGCCAGTGCCAGTTTCTATTCTGTATTTGTCAGCACACATCTAGTTGGTGAAGAGAGATTCGCTTAGGATAAATACATATTAATTGACCATCAAGAACTGTCAACACCAACAATGAAGACAACAACCAAAAACTGAGACAACAACAATTTGTTATTAAAATATCGCCACGCTTTCTCAGCTTATATTGTCGCTACTCATAAAAGTTGCTTGAAATTGTTCATAAAATTCTCGAATTAAAAACCGAAGTGCAAATTCTCTATAAGTCATATGGAGTCATTTGCATTATATTAAAAAATAATAAATTATTTTTGCAATTTATATATATATATATGTTTCTTTATGAAATATGATTCTTCGTACAAACACACTTGCCTAATAACTATTTTATGTATTTTGAAATTAATTAAGTGTATTAAGATCCACTTATTAAATACTTAACTTGTGCTCTTTAAAAAGTTCACTAGGTCTTTGTTAAATTGGGAATACTGTAAGAGTATCTCGACACGCCTTCTTTCAATCCGGCTAGCAATTAAGCAGCATATTCCAAGAGATCAGCGAGAAAAGTAGCAGAAGCTGAAAAAAAAATCGATTTATATATTTGTATGTATTTGGGATATATATTTTTTGCACGAGGTGCGCACAAAGTCAAGACTACTAGTATAATTATAGCGACACCCACCTATTGGCGCCCAATTTCTGGCCGAGCACACGCACACACACCCAATATCATGGACAGTTGGACAGATAGACAAATGGACAGACAGAGGACGACGACGTCGTCGTCGTCTCTCAAAGACTCACGGTCAAGTTGAAAAACATTGAGAGCATGGAGCGGATGTTCGGTATTTTTTTTTGTTGAGGAGGAGGATGATCGGATGTTCATGGAGGCCAGCATGGGAGAATAAAAAAAAACTCATCCACATCGCCAGCTATATCGCGTGTGTCACATTAACCCAATAAATAAACAGTTGAGAATTCGACACAAAATAAACAAAAAAAAAAAACAAACAACAAAAAAACGAGCGATTTGAGAGAGATTTTTATTTTGAGGAGGCAGCGCAGTCAAGGGCAGCGACTGAGGCAGCGACTGCGACAGAGACGCAGAGCCGAGCGAATGCTCGTCGATTGTCGATGCGTTGATCGTTGTTGTGTTAATGTATCTTTGATGTTGTCTGGCGAGCCGTCTTCGTATCGCTTTGCTAGTTTTTCGCGAAAATTTTCGCTCAGTATCGAGGGAAATCACGACACGCCAACATTTGGTGGAAATGCCAGTCCGTGAACACTTCAAATCGAGAGTATACAAGGATTAATCAAACAAAAGTGTGACCAAAGAGAATTATAATTGCATTATAATATAAATACCATATCCGATAATTAATGTGTTGTATGTGTGTTTGGGTGTCAAATAGTGTCTCCCAAGGATAAGCTGCGAAAGTGTACATATTATTTATTGTCTGGTACGTGTTTTGGTTGTCAAACAGAGATTCCCACAAGGATAACCAACAAAAGTGTGACCAATCAAGCATACATTTAATATATAATAGACAATTATGGTGTTCCATGTGTGATTCGCAGTTCACCTAATTAGCAATAAAGTGTCATGCGATTAAACGGCTCAATGCTTAAGCGTGGAGACAGTCCTATGCCAAAAGATAAGTTAATAAATGTTGTGAATAATTGCAAAAATTGATATATTAATTACCAGGCATTTATTTTCTGACTTAATACACATTGTCGAGGAGCTGTCTCTCTCTCTATAATTATCGCGAGTAGTGCCTAGCTATAAATAAATAAATAAAAAAATATATATATACACATATACCAAATAACAACAAATTTTATTTATTGCCCAAAATATACATACTTGCACACATGTTTGTTTATCTATGTGTGTGCGTGTGTGTATGTGTGTGTGTGTTGTGCTTGTGTCTCAGCCAAAAAGCAAATAATATTTAAATTTTTAGCGCTACTAACTTTTCAGCACTAAAACACAAACAAAATTTCATCTCATAAAATTCCTATTAAAAATACAAATAAAAAACAAAAAGCAAAGTGAAAAGAAATCAAATTAATTTGTGAGTTTATGTATAGGAAAATAAACTAAAATATACACATACGTTAAAAAAAATTAATAAAAACAAAAGCCTTATAAATATATAGGCTAGCAAAATGTCGACAACGACGCGAAGTTCGCTGGCGAGAAAATCGTCGCTATCCAAAAGTGGTAGCACGGATAAAACAACAACCAAATCATCAACATCCGCAACAACAAAATCATCGAAAACAAAGCCTTCCAGCACAACAACAACAACAACAGCAGCAACAGATGCAACGGGGAGCGGCAGCAAACAAAAAATGCAATATACAAAGACCAGGGAGCGCATGGTCGATGGTAAAGTTAAATATATACTTTATACTATCACACAAAACATATAATAGTTATAAAAAAAAAGAACTGCACTCTCTTAATTATCTTTCTGCATGATATTAAAGATTGTTCCCATTCAAGATCTTTGACAATATAATCGCAAGACAAATTGTCTTTTATGCTATATACGCTTGGTATTTAAATCACTTTCGACCTTGAACTAATTGAACGACAAGTATCATCCTATTTGCGGCATATTCTATTTATGTCACATAGATCCTAACCTGCAACAACAAAATTTTTTGATTTTTAAATATATCATTCAGTAAATATAATATACTTTTTATAAATTAAAATTTATTTTGAACCATAGGACTTTGACACTTAAATTAAACTCTTGGCACAATATTCAAATACCTAAACACTTTTGCCCCGCTTAATCGTCACTATTTGTATGTTTCTTACAATGTGTTAACTTTTGCATAATATTTCAACTCAAGAGATTTTCCACTAAAAATTTAGATGCAAACTTTTGAGATTTTTAGATCAGGAGATAATCTATAATATATTTCTTTGAGATAGACCAATTTAAGACTTTGTATTTCTTCCAAATGTACTTTATTTGAGCTAAATATAATTATATTTCAGCTAATATATTCAAAAAACAGCTCATTATCAGTATTAAACCTTTATAAAAAATTATATATAATCAATCTTCCTCTCAAATCGTTTTTGCCAAAATTCATGACCTTGACCCAATTGAAATCCAATTAAAAATTGCTCTTTTTATTCGATCATTAAGTTAACATTGTTTGATTGTTGAACAAAATAAATTCAATTTTATTTGAGCAATAATTACAAAAAGCATGTCTCTAATAAGTTATATATTGCCGTTTTATTGGCAATTTGTGCTGAAATTTGAACATTTCGAAAGAGATTATGACAATCCAAATATGAGTTTGTGTGCGTGTGTGTGTGTGCTTGTTGTTGTGTGTGCCAATCAATTTTGCCGACTTTTATATTCACTCATTGAGAATTCGCGTAATTTGCGTAGAATATTCATGTGCAATGGATGTTGGCAGATGATGCCACAGATGGGGGGCAGATGTGAACGGGGGGCATCGTAAATCTGGCAGTGTAGCCAAGCCAAATAAGAATTGGCGATAAGTTGCAGCAGCTCGTTAACCCACATGCACACACACATACACACACATAGAGAGAGCAAAGCACACGCCAATAACCACATTCACCACAATTTTGACGTTGCACATTGCGTATACGCAACGTGTATATGAACTAATTCATTCAAACTGGTTCTGTTTACAATTTAGATGTGCCGCTACCGCCCACACACAAACTGACCATGTCCGAGGTATACGATGATCCCAAGACGGGCAAACCTAATTTCGAGACACTGCGTCAGCATTTTCTGCTCGAGGGTCGCGTCGAGGAATGCGTCGCCCAGCGCATCATCAGCGAGGGCGCCGATCTGTTGCGCGAGGAGAAGAACATGATCGATGTGGAGGCACCCATCACAGTCTGTGGCGACATCCATGGACAATTCTTTGATTTGGTCAAACTATTTGAGGTCGGTGGACCGCCGGCAACCACACGTTATCTCTTTCTGGGTGATTACGTCGACAGAGGCTACTTCAGCATAGAGGTAAGTGTGTGAGTGTAAATTACAATTAATCAACTTAAACAACTCCCTCTCTCTCTCTCTCTCTCTCTCTCTGTCTCTCTTCGACTCTACTTAGTGCGTGCTCTATCTGTGGTCCCTGAAGATCACCTATCCTGAAACGCTTTCTCTGCTGCGTGGCAACCATGAATGTCGTCATCTAACGGAATACTTCACCTTCAAACAGGAATGTAAGTTCGTAGAGGGTTTAAATGTTTTTTTTTTTTAAGATTTAAAATTTCAACCCAATCTTAAAGTTAAAGTTAATTAACATTTCATGACGATTTTAGAGCAATATAAATAAATGCTGCACAGTTTTCGATACTATTAAATGATTTTATTATGGTATTATTAGCTTGAAATAATTACAAAACTAATATTTTAAATCTTATGAAAATAATTTTATATTTTATATTTGAAGATTAGTCCTATTAAATCATTTTTTTTAATCTATTAGACAGAAGACTTAAAGAAGTTTTTGTCGTACATAAGAAATTGAAAAATCTGTTGACGTTTATAAATAGTTTAAAATGATGAGCCGATGTTAAAGTTTCATTTAAATTATAAATTCAACTTTTCAAATTTATTTCTATATACAATTTATTCTGAACTGCATAGCAAACGTATACAAAGTATTTTCACCATGAAATATAGTATTTTAGACAGACTTTTTACAGCACATCAGAAACATAAAAAATTACTAAAAATACTTCAAAAATTTGTCAAGTTAATGTGCAACCTAACATTGCTGAGGTTTTTGATAACCAATTAAAAGAAGCTTATTTGCAGTTTTAATGCATTTTTAATGCGATTATATAATCGGCAACAAGTATATAAATCTTAATAAGATTCTTGTGATTTTATTTTCCCACTTGTTCGCTTGTTTCGTTTCTCATTCGCCCTGTTTTCGTTGGATGCACATTTTTGTTATTGCAGGCATTATTAAATATTCGGAAAGTATTTACGATGCGTGCATGGAAGCGTTCGACTGCCTGCCCCTCGCCGCCCTGCTCAACCAGCAGTTTCTGTGCATACACGGCGGACTATCGCCAGAGATTTTCACACTCGACGACATCAAGACGGTAATAAATTTGGCAGTCGAATGGTTGTCTTGCTGAAATGTTTACAATCGTCTATCAACATTTTTGCTTTGGTCTCGTTGCATTCGGCAGCTGAATCGCTTCAGGGAGCCGCCTGCTTATGGGCCCATGTGTGATCTGTTGTGGTCCGATCCGCTGGAGGATTTTGGCAGTGAGAAAAACAACGAGTTCTTCTCCCACAACTCGGTTCGTGGCTGTTCCTACTTCTTCAGCTATTCGGCATGCTGTGAGTTTCTGCAGAAGAACAATCTCCTGTCCATAGTGCGTGCCCATGAAGCACAGGATGCGGGGTAAGTTTCAAAGGTTCCTACGTATATACACTTGTGGAAAAACTCTGATTTAACTTCAAGTGTAACCTTTACCACTTGTGAAAAGTAAATGGTTTTCTCCACTTCGAATTAATGTAATTCTTAAGCCAAATATAAAAGGCACATTTCAAGAATTTCTGCATTTCTGTCTAAGATAGAAATAAAAATTTAGTTTCATTTTGAAAACTTATAAGCTTGAGGTTATTTTTCTTTTATCTAAAGTTGACATCAGAATAAAATAATATTGAATGTTCGAGTTGTTTATTTTATAAATATCCAAGAACGGAACTTGTTTAAAATGTGGCAATTGTTCTTAATTTACTCGAGTCGAAATTAAATAGATGAATAAATAATTACACGTGATTCTTCAAAAAGGAATTTTCTACGCTAGCTTAGTATTTTCAAATTTAGTCTAATTTTGACAATTTTGTATTCGATTTATGAACGAAATTCTCTGTTCTTGATTTTCTACAACTACAACTTTAATCTTTTTCTATCTGCAGCTATCGCATGTATCGTAAGAATCAAGTAACGGGCTTTCCTTCGCTTATTACCATCTTCTCGGCGCCTAATTATTTAGATGTCTACAACAACAAGGTATGACTTGGCCAATACGATCAACCGCAAATTTGTATATTGAATTTTTGCCTTCGCCTTATTGGCTATTTTTAAATTACACCAAAGTGTTTTTGCTGCACAGCATGCTGCGCTTCATATATGTATATATCTCTCTCAATATGTATATATATATATTTATATATACATATGTGTATTTCTGCCTTCCCGTAAATATTGTTTGCCTTTTTATTTTACGTATTTATACATATATTTGTCAAAACGCATCGTCAACATTTGACAAAAGGCAGCTGTGCTCAAGTACGAGAACAACGTGATGAACATAAGACAATTCAATTGCTCTCCGCATCCGTACTGGCTGCCAAACTTCATGGATGTCTTCACCTGGTCCCTGCCCTTTGTCGGCGAGAAGGTGAGCACAGAACCTGTTCCTAATGCTTCTCCTTGAAATATCAGCTTCATTTTTCTTTTGGTTTAGGTCACTGAGATGTTGGTCAATGTGCTCAACATTTGCTCCGATGACGAGCTGGTCGCCGGGCCCGATGATGAGCTGGAGGAAGGTATGTTATATATATATATAGTTTTTGTATATGTATTGTGTGTGAGTGTATGTATAAATGTAGTATACTCAACAATTGTTAAATACACAAAAGAACCATAACAAGGATATATTTGGAAAGCCAAAAATAAATACCCTTGCAGACATGTTAATTACGTATATTGCATGGCTTAATGTTATTGTAATTGATGCTATGTAAACACCATAAATGTTTGTTTAAAACATCTACATTTTGTGCGACTTGTTCCTCTGACAACTTTAAGATAAATCAATTAAAATCTAATTATGTTTATCTTAAAGTCTATATATACAAAAAAAATTTAGAATTTGGTGAAAACATTTTTAAAAATGGTTTTTCGGACAATTTATCTTAAAATGATCGGCGAAAACGTATAGATTAGTCCAATCATATTTAAGAATAGCTGATGGCAAATGCACCATATATATGCATACATATATATATTTAACTTTTATTACATTGGCATACCAACAATTCGTGACATCCTCTGCAAGGGTATACGAAGAACACAATCAATAATATAACTAATCTTCTATTAAATTCACTTATTTTCAAAATGTATCTATGTAATAACAAAACCAACAACAACAACAACTATCAAACACACAACAAACCAACAAACAAATCACCCACTCAAAAAAAAAAAAAAAAAAATTCACGCCTCTTTCTGTGGTTGGGCGTAACAAGAGCTGCGCAAGAAAATTGTGCTCGTGCCGGTGACAGTGAATAATGTCAATAACAATAATACGCCCAGTAAGCCAGGTAAGCTCAGTGTTGAACCGCTGCTGCCGTTGCTGCAAGAAAGAGAAAGAGCTTAACGAGAGCTTTGCACAGCTTTGATCAGCTTTGGCTCGCAAAGCTTTGCCTTAACATTATACAGCATAGCACCCGCACCCGCACCCGCACCGAGAGTTGCCTAAATATGCCCTTTATTTATATACATAAATCAGTTAATGGTATTCCCCATGAGCCATCGACTAATTGAGTTCTACAAATTCACAGCTTCCATGTCGGCGCTGCGCAAGGAGATAATTCGCAACAAAATACGCGCCATTGGCAAAATGTCTCGTGTATTTTCCGTTCTGAGGTGAGCTCAAATTCATTTGTTGCTCTTTGTGCTTTAAGTATTTTAACTGTCGTTCGCCTTGAAGGGAAGAGTCGGAGAGCGTGCTGAAACTCAAGGGCCTGACGCCAACGGGTGCATTGCCAATGGGCGCACTTTCTGGTGGTCGAGATTCACTTAAAGAGGGTAAGATTAACATAGTTATAGCAATCAATATATCAATATATAGCATTGATTTGAAAGATTAATGATGGAAAATAAGTGATAAAATAAATAAAAATTGAATATTCAAGAATATCTTGTATCTTTTAAATTATGAAATGTATTATTTTATATACATATTTGATATTTATATATATAATAATTAAAGATTGATGACTGGCAATAAATAGATTGATGATTGCTGAGTATAGATAACATATAGCAAAGATGGAACACATGATAAAGAAGTTTTATCTAAGATAACCAGAAACTAAAGAAGGAAGAGAAATGGAAGATTAAATATGCAAATTAAGAAAAGATAAGATGAAGCATAATTAAATTAGATGAAAAAATATACAAATATTCGTATTATTTTTGTTATGTACAGCAAAATTTTAGATAATGATAGTAATAACAAACAACAAATTTATAATTTAAAAATGGAAAATTGACACAAAGAAACAATGCACAATATAAGTAAGACGGTGAAATATACGAGATGAAGGCATATCAGATGTATTATGATGGGTTAATTGCATAAAAACAGATAGCCAGTTTAATAGACAGAACGAAGGGGGATATGGTTTGAGGGTATATAAAAATATATTAATCTCGTAATTTGCTTATAAACAGAATTGTAAATAATAATCCAAATTATGCAAAATTCGAACTATTCATAACTATTGTTGACACCTATATATGTAACGAGTAGTTGCAGTGGGATTGCAGTGCTATTGGGTGGCAACTCTGGTTACCAAACCTGAAGGCGGCATCAGCATTAGTCGTAAAAGAAAAGCAGAACGAGAAAATCGAGATGGTGAAGCAGAGCATTAAGATCGTCAATAAGAAGTTGTCTAAAGTCCAGCATAACTTTATAAATACAATACTCATATTTCACTGTAATATATATATAATATGTATTATATTATTATCAAACAAGACATATATATATATATATATTATTCATATTTATCACTTCCCTGTTCGATCAGCTCTGCAAGGACTGACCGCAGCCTCACACATTCACTCGTTTGCCGAGGCGAAGGGCTTGGATGCTGTCAATGAGCGGATGCCGCCACGTCGACCGCTCTCGATGAGCGCCAGCAGCAGCAGCATTACAACTATCAGCAGCAGCACCACCACCAAGAAGAGCAGCAACAACAACAACAATAACAACACAACAACCAAGAACAACAACAGCAATGGCGATAGCAGTGATGCCACAGTGACGAAAACGAGCCGAGCCACAGTTAGATCGGCAACCACGAGCAACGTGCGCAGTGGTTACACATCCAAGAGGTTCTCATAATCAGCAATTGCAAACATTTTTAGTTAATTTACACTTTGGTAGTCATTTTAAAATATAATATATACATATTTTTTTAAATTATTTTTTTTGCCCATTTATCATTTTGTTAGCTTAAATTTTATACGCAATTCGGTTCGTAATGCCTTAGTGAAAATTGTTAACCCCTAAAAACACTTTGTGGAATTTCTATATTTACTGTAGAAGCACTTTCCACGCTCAAATTTATACGTGACATGAATATTTTTTTAATAAAAACCTGACAGTAAATAGCTCAACAGAAAAATAGCATGAGCAACAAAAATTATTTACATAGCGCCAAGGGAGAGGGCGGAGGGGTGAGTGCTGAAGGTTATATTATGAGGTGGGCTCCTACAATGTCAAATACAGATGTCAAATTAACAGTTAGCTGCAGCAGCAGCAACTCAAGTCAAGCGTAAAAAGTCAACAACAATATAAAAATAATAAAAACAAAAACCACAAAAACGCGAATCATGAAACAATGCATTTCAAGAATTAACCAAGAGCAAACAACAATTATCAAAACAATCATAATTTAAAGTCAAGTCGAATTGCAGCTGAAACCATTTAAAATGGGTGAAAAGGGTGTCATGGGTTTGATTCAAAGTGTGTAACAGACAGAAGGAAGCAGTTTCTAGCCGATAAGGTATATACATTCTTGACCTGTTCTGCAAATTGGTCCTGGGTAAGTTTTATTAAGATAAGATACGAATTCTTATATGTTTCTCATTAGGTACTTAGTATATTCAACTATATTATTTACGATGTGCTCAATCGGAACGCAGTTACAATAGATAAAGCAAAGAAAACTCCACAGTGCACTCTGGCAAACTTGACCCAGTTGAAAGCAACTATTCATTCAATTTTCTCAATTCAATATATTCACAATCTTAAATCATGCTATATCTAGTACTTAATTGTGTTAAACTATTATGCCTGTATTATTTATTGTTTTACAAATTTAAGTATATATTTCGAAAATTGTTAGAGTTTCCTCATCAAATATATAATTATTTATTCAAGTTTTGTTAGACTCGTCTGATCGTATAAAAAAATATAAATACCAATATCAATTCTTAACTCTTTAAAATATGTTAGTGAAATAATAAATGAAATTAAATATATATAAATATCAATAACAAACAAAAAATAATAATCCAAAATAGCAACGGTTATGCTTAGGATGACCATTAATCTTTTACAAACACGGAAATTAAATAGGACAGAAAGCTTAACATTTGATGTGATCAAAATATTTGTTCTAAAGCAAATAAGATAAGACTGAGGAGCAACTAAAGAACCAGCATAACAATACATAACGCTTAACTAACGTCACAACCTGACAGCTTTATGCATAATCTAAAAGAGGAATTTTTGGTGAAAGAGTTGCTTAAAGAATACACCCACAGATAATACTCGTATGATGTCACTAAGTCAACAAGCTGGCAAATTTGACAATGGATACAATTTGGCACAATGTAGTCAGTCACTGGCCATATATATATCTATATCTTATATGCACATTTTTTATTATATTGTTCGGTTTTAAGTACAGGAACTAAGTTGGAGGCTGGCGCTTATTGAGTATTTGAATGTGACATTGAGCGAGGTCTACGTGGATAATGCAAACACTACGCATACGCCAGGTACGCCAACATTTTATTATAATACACCTGCAGCACGCACGAGATACGAGATCTGTATTCTTGAATAAAGCCAACTGATAAACCAGAACACGCTTTGTATCAGTCAGTGGACTGTAGTTGATTTCAACAGATTCACGTGCCTATTTAGGCCGTAATTCGTCGCATTGGCACATCTTGTTGTCTCGTGTCTACAGCCGCTCATAAAAAGAGCAATTTCTCCAGTCGCCGGGAACAAGTTCATATTTAATGAGTTTATCTGTTTGCTACAATTCGAAATGAACCTAAGCGTTTTGTATGTAAACAAAAAAAAAAAGCAATACTCGTAATGATCGTCGTCGTGTGGCCGCTTCGTGCACAGCCGATGATCGTTGCCAATCGAGCTCGCCATATAACGGCGCTTCGGGGCACAGCGATACGCCAGTCGCCGCAAATCCGTTAATTGTGACCTATCCGCGAGCTCGTTTCTAAAAACTGCGCTCCACAAAAAAAAAAAAATCTATAAAAAAAAGTAAAGACAACTTTTTTTATTGCTTGCGCATTTTTAATGGATTATTAAACGTATTTTAAAGCACAACTGTGATATAAATAAACTAAGCTCGCGTCTGCTCAATTAAATTCTGCGAAAATGCATCCGACACTTTTGCTGATCTCGGCTCTATTTATTGGGGTCTCGTGGGCGGCCACAGTCCAGCCTCCGCCACTGATTCGAACACTGAGCCCAGCGGGCGGTGGAATTGGACCCGAGTTCCAACTGGATCCGGTGCCGACGCAGGATAAGGGCAGTGTTGTTGAAGGTTTGTTAACCATAACTATTTTTGCAAGCATTCCAATAGATAATCACAACTTGTGCTTGAGATGCACGAGAACAGCCAAACGAATGGCGCATTCAAGCGTTTTATTACTACGTGTTAGTTCGACTCGAACAGCTTCAGTTCAATTATGCAACAACAAAAAAAAATATTGCTTGCTATATATATTTAAAAAATGCATAAATAACCCTGCTATTGCGAAGCATAAAAATAAACTCGTGTCAAGTGCATGTTTGCAAATAAATACCGATTTAAAAATGAAAATATATTCAGTTATATATCAGTAATAAAAAACTGGTGTGAAGTCAAACGCACAAAAAAAACGCAACTTTTATTTTTATTTCAAACTTCAAGTGCATATCCAAAATGAAAGCAAAGTTTTCAAATGTATAATTATGCAATGGGAAAGAATGAAAATGTTACATATATGATTTATATATCAGAAGTTTGCAAGGTCAAAAAAGCCATATCAAAAATGTATTTTTAATTTCAAAATACTCTTTCATCTCGTGTCAAGTTCAGAACTCAAAATATTTTATTATCTTTCCAAACAAGATAGTTTCAAATTTAAAAATGCAAGCAATCTATTTATATATTCAACTAAACTACTACTTTTCAAAGTTAATTGTTAACCTCGTGTCAACTTCAGAACTCAAAATATTGTTTTTTTTTTATCAATATTAGTATAAATTGAGAACAAAAAAATACACCGGTTTTTTATATATATCGTACAACAGTTGAAATGTCTTCCCAAGGTCAATATTAAGTAAAATCGTTTAAAGTACATTTGTTAAAATATTTATTTAGCTATCCGAAAAACCGAAAAAGAACAATGCATTTAATGATGAGACAGCTGAAATATCTATTTATACACGTTTCAATTACGAAACAGCCAAGTAAACTTATTAATTTCAGTCCAAATGTTGCAATGTCATTTCTGAATTCCAGTTTCGCATTTGGGCACATAAATTTGAATTTTATTACGAGCTCTGGGATTAAATGATATTTATTATGGAACAAAGTATACGCTGTCATACGCTCTTCAAATATTCTCCATATATTTAATAAAAAGAAGACTGTACCATTTTTAAGCAGAAAGTTAATTAGTTTTGTTAATTTTAGCATTCGAAATTCCACACTGAAGTTGAAAGATTAGTCAATTGACTATGCCTATGTCTACAAAGTGAACAACAATTTTTAATTATGATAATAACTGCCGAATTTTGTGTTAGCCAAATGACAAACATTTGGCAAAACGACTGTACACACAGCCGTTAATTAGAACACTCACAAGTGTTAAGTTCGTGATAAAGCTACGATTCGATTCTAACATTAATGGTGCTAATTACGCCTCTAACCGTATATGGCAAAAACCTTTAATTATCCAATTCGATTTCATTGACAATTCAAATTAACAGTCTGTCAACGCAGCGTAACTGTAACGTGCGTCAGTGCCGCGGCACATAGGCGGAGAGGGCGTGGACGGGGGGTGTTGGGGGCAGAACAGGGGTTTTCGCTTGACGCCGACTGAATACTAAAGTTAAAAATGTATACTCAGCAAATATGAATACAAAATTATAGTGAGTTCGAGGAGAGTGTGAAACTAGAAAATGCCCTTTAGTCTGAAATAAAGGTGGAACTTATTAAATTTGTTATGGATAATTAAATTTATTTTTTGTTTCTTTTTAAAAAATATATACAAAAAGTTGCATGATAAAAGAAATAATAATTTGATATTAAATACAAGTAAAACTTTTTAGGAAGAAATATTTATATTTTAGGGCGACTTACTAAATTTTTGGGAATGTTTTTCTAAATGTTTTTATGCATAAAGAGCACAAGTCAAAACGGGATTTTAGTAAATATAGATTCATTTTTATACATTTTTGGAAACTAAAATAAAAACTCTAAAGTATACTTTAGTTAGTAAATAAATTTCAAATTCATTGATACTTAGTAAGCCTAGTTTTTGTTATGTCTAGATACCTGCTTAGGCGTTCTACCCAACCAATTGTATGTTTGAAGAGTATATAAAATAAAGTACATAAAATATATTTATAGACTGTCGTGCAAATGTAAATTATTTAATTTCATGCCAATCACTTGAATGCAATACTTAACGATTTAAGATATTATTTGTTGCTGCACTTAAGTGTTGCAAGTACTTAAAGTAAATCCCCCGCTAGACTAGTTCAGTCCCACACATTTTATAGATGGGGGATTTACCTGGCCTCAACCAGATAGAGTTTTACACACATTTCTAATGGGCCTTATGTGCTCAACGTGCAAAATAACTCGTCGTGGCAAAATCTAAGTAAATAGTCGTAGCTGTTGTTAGTAGAACCCGCGACTGCCTAGTACGCTCACCAGAATTAATTACAAAGCGACAGCGACATGACATAAATAAATAGATAACGTTCAATTTCTGCACGTGACTTACTCGATTCCAATTTCAATTCCGTCAGATGCACAATTCTGGCGACGAGTCGGCCTCAACCAGCTGGAGAAGATCATCAAGCAAGCGAAGCGGGCCAAGGAGACCTCATATCAGCACAAGGCCAAGAACATTATCATCTTCATAGGCGATGGAATGGGTATGTCCACAATTTCAGCTGGACGCATCTACAAGGGACAGTATCTAAAGCATGGGCATGGCGAGGAGGAGATGCTATCCTTTGATGAGTTTCCCTATACGGGCTTAGCCAAGGTATGTTTTATTTTAAAACACTTATCTTTTTATGCAACAATTCTCCTATAACATGTCTCAAAAATCCTTTAAAAAAATCTTTCTTACTATGATTATTTTTGGTACAAAATAATACATAGAAAATTCCAAATAAATATATATTTTTTTGCTTTAATCCCTGAAGATGAGATCCGACGGTACTTGAAATACATATATATTGATATGGGAAAAAATATACAACTAGATAAAGTTATTAATATTAATATTAAAAATGTACATATTAATATAACAAAAAAATATACTTCTTTGCGAATATTAAAAAAAAGTATATATAAACTGACTAACAGAATGATTGGAAAATTCAAACCTCAAGTGGGTAATAAAGAGGAAAACTGACACATGCTTTTAAAATAGAACTTCTATTCAAAAAATGAATGTCACAAATATGTTAAAATTAAATTGAGTTTCATAGTTGAAAAAAATACTATTGAGGAAAAGTGAGCTCGAGCGGAAAATAATGTAAAATAATTGGCTCAAAAATATATGGTAGGGGAAAGTCCAAATTTTCCACTGCCATACATTTTTCAAACTATTTATTCGCATGACATAATTTATTGTGGTCATTTACGGTGAAAATATAAATCAAAACTGAAGCAATTTTTAAAAGAAAATTCGTCTAAGAAATTGAATTTATTTACGGTAATCAAATGTTTGCTGTGAATGCATATAAAATAAATATTAAAAATACTGCAACCATTTCAACAAATTCTTACAGACCTACAATGTGGACAAACAGGTGCCGGATTCGGCGGGCACGGCGACAGCGATATTTACGGGCGTTAAGACAAATTATAAAGTGATTGGCATGGATACCACACGATCGATGACGAATGCGACACAGGGTCGCCTCGACTCCATCATGGACTGGGCACAGCGGGTGGGCAAACGGACGGGCGTGGTGACAAACACAAGGATTACGCATGCCACACCGGCATCTAGCTATGCCAATATCTATAATCGTGACTGGGAATGCGATACGGAGGTGCCGGCGGAATCCAAAGGCATTTATGCTGACATTGCCAGGCAGCTGGTGGAGACGGCGCCGGGCAACAAACTGAATGTGGTGCTCGGTGGTGGCCTCAAGCCAATGGGCTCCTTCAATGCGAGCGAGGTGCAAACGGTTAAATTTGAGGGTTCCACTGAGACGGTCTGCAATCGTGGGGATGCCAGGAACTTGACCCGCGAGTGGCTGCAGCACCATGCAAATGATAGCAGCGATGCCAAGCTGGTGCACACGCGTCAGGCTCTGCTCGAGGTTGATGTAAAGAAAGTGGATCATCTGATGGGTCTGTTTCGCAACAATCACATCACATACTCGATTGCCCGCCAGCAGGGTGAACCATCGCTGCAGGATATGACCAAAGCGGCCATTGGGGTGTTGGAACGTGGCAAAGATTCGGCTGGATATGTGCTCCTCGTCGAGGGTGGACGCATCGATATGGCACATCATCAGAACTATGCGCGGGCGGCACTCCATGAAGTCTACGAATTGGATCTCGCTGTGCAGGCGGCGCTTAACATGACCGACTCGGAGGAAACGCTGATTCTGGTCACAGCGGATCATTCGCATTCCGTTACCTTTAATGGATATCCTCAGCGTGGCAATGATATTTTGGGCGCTGCCAATCTGCACGAGCCCAAGGATCCCATGGTTTATGAGACGATCACTTATGCGAATGGACCCGGTTACTTTGACCATCTCGCCAATGACTCGAAGCCAGTAAATAGCTCCAATTTTTGGATGCCCCTCCAGCGATATAGCAAAGAGCAACTGGATTCGCCCACCTATCGCCACATGGCCAGCGTTGCCCTCAGTGATGAGACACATGGCGGCGAGGATGTGGTTGTCTTCGCCAGCGGACCAGGTGCCAGTTTGGTGCGAGGCGTCTTCGAGCAGAACTATTTGGCCTATGTGATGAGCTATGCTGGCTGCATGGGTCCAGCCAAGAATTTTGATGATACCTGCCAGCGCTACCTGGCGCCAGGAGGCAGCGACAACAAGGCAGCGAGCAGTGCAACTGCATACAGACTTGGTCTGGTTCCGCTGCTCGCCTTTTGGCTGCTGGCTCTTTATGCAGTTCTTTAAACCTCCATACGTATGGATGTGTGTGTATTGTGTATCTATTTGTATATTTTACGGTCTTGTAGTTAACGTGATTAACATTTTAGCACAAGCCAATAAAGTTAATTAGTTAAATAAAACACCTAACACTTTATATTCAATTAGAGAACAGTTGGGGAGTAAAATAAATCTAATCGACGGACAAACAACCTCTATAAATGGTAGAGTAACAGTTATCTAAATATATATATATATATATATACAGATATATACATATCGTTCTTCTTAATTGCCAGAGTTTGTAGGTTGTATTTCTTGCAGAAGTTTTCTTTTTAACATTATACTCCAGACGGAATTTCAAAAAATTATAGCCATTTCGGAGAAAAATTAATCGAAGGCGACTTCCAACTTGCTTTTACAATACAAAATATGAGCAGACACATTTTGATCAATCAATATACATATATATAAAATAGAGTTCTCCAATAGAGTCGGAAGAATTTGGAAGTATAATTTAAAAAAAAACTCGTTTTTTTTCTTAAGGTTTGATTCATAGCCGAATTTCAAAAAAAATCCTACTATTCACTATAAGCAAAAAGTGGCTTTAAACTTACCTTGTACGAGATAAAAAATCATTTACATCTGGGATAAATATTAACAGTCGAATTGTGAGTTAATTGCTGATCAATCAAGTATATAAATACATAAGATTATGCATAATTCTCCGCAATCGCAAGTTTATCGAAGTAGTTCTTTACAGTGGAAAAGGTTAAAAATAAATTCAAATTGACATTCAACTTTCTTCAAAGTTTTAACTATATAAAAAAAACTAATTTAAATCTAAGCCACTTTTTTTATAGTGGCTACATTCTGAAAATTGGAAGAATGCTAAGAAATTGACTAAGACAAAGTCTGCTTGTGGAGCTACTCTAAAAGAAGTGCTGATCAAGAAGGCAAAGTTACTGTATATATATATATATATATATAGGCACATCATCAAGTAAGTTAAAGCCTTTAGTACATTGTAATAGGAGCTTTGATGTACTAATTAAAATGAACACATAAACACAAAATGTAAGCAATAGAGAAACGCACCTTCGTTATATATTAATAATTAATTTACTATGGTTTACAATGACACTCGCATTTGACAGCGTGCTCCCTGGTTTATACAGATCTCTGAGGGCTAATAGGCGCAGGAGCAACCAAAACAAACAGGAAAACAACTCAAAAAAAGGCAACACGTCTTTTTTTCTAGCCCGCTTTGGCAACCGGCACGGCTGCCTTGCTGCTGCTGGCCGCTGGTGCTTTGGTTGCTTCCGCTTCGCTGTCCAGCTTCTTGATGCGATGCACATCGACGCACTGCTTGAACTGGGTCACCTCCTGGATGCACTGCAGCGTCTCGCCGGGATGGGCACGATAGCAGGCGAGCAGCTGTGACTTGAGATCACCACATGGCGGGGTCTTGTGCGCCGCAGCGGTGCTCACGAAACGCTTGTGAACGCCTTCGACGGCTTTCGCATATTCCGACTCCATGATGGTGTTTGTCTTCTTGAGGTTCTCCTCCAGCTGCGTCTGACGCTGTCGCCATATCTCATCGTTCTTCTGCAGCTCCTGGTTCATCTGGCGCTGCACATCAGCGGCGCTGATCGTATGTCCGCCACCCTGCACATAGATGGGCGTCGCTGCCTGGTAGACAACTGTTGGGTGTGCGGGACTGCTCTCTTTGACAGGCGCCTTCTTGGTCGGCTGTGGCTGCGACTGGGGCTGGGGCTTGGGTGCCGGTTTGGCTGCCTCCGCAACAGCGGCATTTTCACGAGCTGCAAGCGTGAAAAATGCCTTTAGTTTTGCATATACGAAATATAAATAAATTGATCATTTGACAAATTTGGTTGCATAACACTTGGCCAAGACAATTTTTGAGGGATATTTTCTTTGGCATCGCAACTGCAAATTGTATATGTCACTACTTTACCCTGCTGTGAGATACCCTGCTTGAGGCGCTTCACCACATCGTCGGATATGTCGAGGACGCCAGCAGGAGTCGGATTCTCCATCGAAACGGAACGTGGCTCACGCGACTGCTTTGCGCCCATCTTTTCGTTGCTCTTCTGTTTCCTGTTGTTGTGTTGCTGTCGCCCTTTCGCTGAGTTGAAGAATGTTTAAGTGAATGACTCTTCTTCACATATATTTATTACTAATTAGCACTGCCTGTGGAGCAGATATTATAAAATAATACCTTTTCGTTCGGCAAGTTGTGTTGGGTTGCTAGCGATGGGCGATAGTTGATAACTGAGGTGAGCGATATGCGTAAATTGTGCTCCTCTAGTGATGGGCGATATTTAAACATGTGTTTCATTTGTGAGAAATATCGGCAGTCAAATAAATAATATATAATCTTGAAAGCTTAGTATATAAAACTACAAGTTTGATTCTGAAAATAATTTATATTTTATTTTAATCGAAAATAATTTCGTTTTGATTTTATACATTTTGATGCAAGTTTCATGCAGTCACGAACACGGCAACTCCTCAAAATATCGCACGTTCGTGAGCACAATTCAGTGTGACCAAATCCACCGAGTATTTAATACAAAATGGTGCCAAAAGCCATTTGTAATTTAGACTCTGCCGTGAATCAAACGAAAATTTAAAGAACTTTTGGTTTCACAAATGCATAAATTTGTTACATACAAGCCACATTTTACAAATATCCAAAATCAAATTAGATAAACAATGAATTAATTTTCTAATTTAAAGTGATTTTACAATTTATATTCTCCTGTTTATTTCAATACGAACTTAATCAAACGAAGTAAGGAACGTAAAGTACGAGAAGGCACCCTGTAATATCTTTAACGAATAAAAATAGAGATATATTAAACATCAAAAGATTGCTAAAATCCACACAAAAATGTCTTACTTTAATGACAGCAACTAGGGTGACTCGAAAATAATTGAGACCTGTGAGAGCAAAAGGTTTCGAATTCAACTCAATGGATAGTATTACGAGCTTCATTAGCTGGACATTCTCATAGGTATTATGCGAGTGATAGACGACTTGCTCCCAGTCGCAGCAATAGTACATGACATCCAATTTGTCCGTCTGAGAAGTAATAGGTTTTTTAAAATACAATAATTAAATAACACTCACCGTTTCATAGAGAATTGAGCCGAGATAACCAAATACCAGAAGCTCCATAAATTTGGCTGTAAACCAAATAATATACACAATGCTATTTACCGGATTCTGTCAAGAGGTGGATCATAAATACATATATATTATACAATTTATATATAAATAACCCACCTTATAGCATAGATAGGCCAAGACACACAAGAGTGTTGCACTAAAGCTAAAGGTGATAAATATGCGAAATGTGAATTGATTCTCGACTTCTTTGGCAAAATAATTGAGGGCAGCATTACGACGAAGTACTTTGACAAGTTCTTGATGAAAGTCTGTAGCAATATTTGTAGTATCCTCTGATTGAATTAATCGCCTGGCGGACACTTTTAAATCCTTATCCATTTGCAGATAACGGGCATTTAGATGCATCATAAACTCACCCAACATGTTGAGGTCACCAATGATAACAGTGGTGCATAAGACACCCACCCAAATATTCGAGCAAATTAGTGGTATATAAAAGGGCAGCTTTGTATTATCGAAAATGTATTCCTGCTTGTAGAGCATCTCGCGGCGACCTTGAAAAATATTCCTGATAGGTTCCATGCAGAATGCAATCACCGTCATCATATAGAAAGATGTTATAAATCGTGTTCCCAACAATTGTCTTTTTATTATTCGAAAAGTATCCGGATCCGAATCCTCTGAAATGTAATTCTCGGCATAAAATCGCTGAAGCAGCTGCCTCAATCGATTCTTGTAGATGGCAATGTGAAGGAGACGTATATTTATTTCCACCAGGATAAGGAAAGTCGGTATGCCTTCGAAAAGTTTGTTGAGATCATCCAGATTGACAACAAAATAATGTATATCCACTTCATTATGCATTATCATCACCACCAATGCAGCCATAAATAAAAATCGCTCAATAAGGATAGCCTTTTTACTTGGACTATCGTCCAAAGGCCAGGCAATAGGATTTAGACGTCGGAGTAAGGCCAAAGGCCAACTCATTTTCACCAGTTCTCCGTTTCTTAAACGAGGCTGATACCACATTGCTCGGACTCTATTGAAATACTTTAGCCCTGCTCTGCGAATCCTTCCTTATATGCGCTGGCAAAGTCAGTCATACCTAGTACATGTGTCTATTATTTATTGTTAGTTAATTAGCTTCCAACTTTTGTTTATTGCGAAAAAGAAAATCTATCTTTATTATTTATAGCATTTTAATTAATCTAAAACATTTTGTCGCGGGTTATATGGGTCCACAAATCAAACAAAGCAATTACTTCTGAAACTTTTCATTTATACTTTTTGCAAGTCAATTTACAAATATAAAATGCACTTTGTAAGCAAAAAAGTTCCTCAATTAAAATGAGTGTCCCAAAGATATAGACAAATATTTTGCTTTGAAATGTTCCTCACAATAATTCGTCTGTCAAGTTAACTGAGAAAAATAATATAGACTTTGTAGGCACAAAAGTTTGTTAATTCGAAAAAGTCCTTCGGAAGAGCCTGGTTTGTCTTTAATGCTGCCAGCGCAATAAAGGGAAAAATAATAATTATGCTGCATTCATATAATCTTACGTAATTATAATAAATTAGAACAATTTATATAAAGCAAAGGGGTATTTTAATATATTTTGACTTAAAGTTCAGTTCCGTTAGTATCTTTTGCAAATAAAACAACGTTTGAATTTATTTTCAAAATCATAGATTTTATTCATTTTAGCGTTTTTCTTATGTGTTTTCTTTTTTGATTTTTTTTTTTGTTGCTTTTGTTGTTTTTTTTTTTTTTGTCGACAAATAATTACATTTAATTACGAGTACTTGACATTTGCTCTTTAGTTTTGTATCTAATATTTGTTGCAATTTGTTAATTTTCGGATTACTTATGATTTATTTACTCTTCTTTATTTACCCTTCTTTTCGCTTCTAGTATGACTTTCACATTAATTTCGCAATTTATTTTTATTAATATTATTATTATTATTATTATTAGTGTTGTTAATCTTGATGAGTTCTTTGTTCAAATGTGTTAAAATTCTATTGAACATTTGTTTGTTTGTTTCGTGTTTGTTCGCTAATAATATACTAGATATTCGTACATCTATATCCGATTTCATTTGATATACATACATATACATATATATATATATAAATATACATATACATATATATATGCACCTAATTGGATTAGCTTATTAGCTGGTTTTATTTAAAATTTGCAGCGGGAAATCCTAGTTTTTTTTGTTTTGTTTTTACTCTTTTTCAGTATGATCATCATAATAATAATATCAATATACATTTATATAATAATTATGGAAATTTGTTTGGTGTTTTGTTTAGTTTGTATCCTATAATCGTTATTGTTCTTATTTTGTGTGATTTGCGCGTGCTTTTTACGATTTATCTTTATCATTTTATGTTTATTTTAATGAACTTTGTCTTGGTTATTTTGTATCTCATATCACTGTTGGTGGTTTGTTAATGTTATATATATATTTATATATATATATAGTACATACATACTCGATTTTAGTGTAGTTATTAATTAGATCAAAAATTTCTATACTCACATTTACAATTAATTTTACAAAATTTTCAAAAATTTCCTTTACCATTTTCGTTAGAATTTGTTACGTGTTCTATTTGTTTTTTTTTTTTTTTTTTTATTATTTATTTTTCTTTCATCTTTTCATTTTTTACTTATGGCGTATGGACTTGTCATACATTAATTGTTAATTTAATATGTAGTTTGTTCTGCATTTAATGATTTCTTTTATGTCATATTAGTTAGTGTTTTGTTTGTCATTAAATCGCTAGTAAGAAGGAAAATCACACAAGGTTTTTTTTTGTTTTTTGTTTTTGAATAATTTTTTTATGTACACTCAGTTGATGATTTTAGTTTTGAGTTTTTAGCATTTGCGAACTATTTTAACGGCACTGTGTTGCGACTCTATCTAGGGGACTGTTCCGTTCCTTAATTGTGGTGTTGTTTTTGTTGTTGTTGCTGTTATTAAAAGTATTTCGTTATTTGGTCAAGTTTACAAGGCATGCGCTTCTCATTTCAAACACCTAAAAGCCGTAATCGCACTCGGAAGTCTCGAGTTTATCCCCATCTAATGCACAAAGAAAAGCAAATCATTGAAATTAAATTGGAAATGAAACAGAAAAACAAATGAAACAATTTGTAAGAAATATCACGTAATGCATTTTTTATTTAAGTTTTTCGAATTTTTACTTGATGTAATTTTGCTTGCCTGCGTTAAATATTATTCATTTTACGATTGGTTTCTTTACTGCTATACATACACATATATATATTTATATATATATATATATATATTAACGGCATATCGGCGCGTTGTTTAGTTTTACATATGATTTTGTTGTTTTTCTTTTTACGTGTTTGCAGCATTTGCGTTTCATAAGATAAACATTTGTTTGTTTGTATTTGTTGCACGTTCTCATTTCTTGTTTCTATATATATATATAATTATATTCATAATCCATAATCTTGACTTGCGCAATTCGAATTACAAATTGATTTTTGTTTTGTGTTGCTTCTTTTTTTTTATATAGCATTTTGTTTTTTAATGGTTTGGTATTACTTATAAACAAATTTCATATTATAGCTACAATTTATTAGCTAGCGTTATAATTTTAATGCGCGCTCGCAGCTCACGCCCCTTAACGACTTTACAAACTAATTGAAAATATATAATAATAATAATAATAATAATAATAATATAATATAATATAATATAATGCAAAGTACATTTTTCGTTATGTAGGTTGTGTGTGTGTTTGTTTGTTGTGTATACATATTATGCACTTAGTTATTAGTTACACGATTTTTGCTTTTATTCTATTATTAATCAGAGAAATATATACGCAGAAACAGAGCTTGGCAAATAATATTTTGAACACATACATTTGTATCGAACGCGAGAAATTAAGTGAGAATTTGAAGCGAGAAATCAAGTATAGATTATAAGTTTATTATTTACCTTTGTTAAACATCGAGGCATTACAAATTAGAGCGATGCTTAAAGCTAGATTCTTATGTGGGGTGTTGGTTGCCTGTTGCACAAAACGCAATGTCTGTTTTAATTGTATTATTATTATTATTATTATTTTTGTATATATATATATTATTTGTTATATGCATTTGTATTTTGTACTTAATACTAAGTTCCTATACTAAAAGTTAGGGACACTGGCGCATAATGTGTCCTTTGTTTGTTGGTTGGTTTGTTTTGTTTTTGTTTTCTTTTCTTTTCCTTTACACTCGAAGCTTACAACTTATATTCAAAATATACGATTTAATACATTTAAATATTAATTTTATATATTTGCCATTTTCATTTAATATAAATTTGCCATTTTGTTCAATTGAGTGTCGATTCATAAGTTGTTCTCATTTTTTTCTAATCTTTTTTTTAATTTTATTTATTAATTTTTTTATTTCTTTCGTGGTGCTGAAACAAAATGCATTTAACGAAACAATTAATGTGTATTCTGTTCTGGTTGATGTTGTTCAGCAAAAGTAAATGCAAAACACACAGAAGGAGCTGTCGATTGAGAGTTTTTCTTGAATGTATATTTAATTTTGAATTTGTTTCACTGCCTCAGCTCTCTTTCTCACTGATCTTCTCTTTCAAGTGTCGTCTAGTAAAGTTTTCGATTACGAATCTTCATCAAGGGTTTTGCGGAAGAGGCTTGAACTGTGGCCTGCTCCAAGTGTTGTGCATAATTTCGCTTTCTTGCCACCGACTTGCAATCATTTATCAACTAAAATTATAAGTTAAACTTAGCATATGTTAATCGGTAAACCTTGCCACACTCATTTCTCACAAAGCAGGCAGAAAGCGCAGCGCAAAGAACATAAACGAACAAAAAAAACACAAAAATATACAATACAAATACAAATAAAGAGGAAAGCGTAGCTGGTTGTCAATCAGAGTGTGTGTGTAGGTGTGGGTGTGCTGATGTGTGTTCTTGCAACATGTTGCCAGAGACCAGGTCGCTGACTGAACTATACATAAGACGTGTTATGTATTATATATATATGCAGGTCGCTGACTGAACTATACATAAGACATGTTATGTATTATATATATATATATATATATATATATATGCAGATATATATATACTTTTATATATTGAGTAGAGTAGGGCTGCTGCTGCGTGTGTGTGTGTGTTGTTGTGTGTTTGTGTGGCATCTAAACAATAAAATATTATTTAGCATTTCGTACATCACCGACAACACCGCCGCCGCCGCCCCCCGCCTGCAGACCGCCGCCCTGACGCATCCGTATCGAGGGGCGCCTCTCTGGCGTATCGTAGGGCTGTCTTGATGAATTCGTCGCTGCCATCGAATCGTCCATGTTGAGGCCACCGTTGCCAATGGCCATCGCCAACGTTTGGCCAGCCGCCGAGCTGCTGCCGAGCATTTGTTGTGCACTGCTGCCACCGCCTCCAGCTGTGCCGCCTCCCATTGTTGTGTTGATCTTGTGCTGTTGTTGCTGCTGCTGCTGCTGTTGCTGCTGTTGATGGGATGCTGCTGCGGCTGCAACGGCAGCGGCTGTGGCAACTGCATCCTGATTCTGACCGGGACCCGCATCGGTGCCATCCTGTGCCTGCTGTATGGCCTGGGGATTACGCGGGCCGCCAAACTTGAGCAAATTCCAGTCGAAGACATAGTCATAGGTGAAGCCCAAACGATGGAACAGATTTCGAAACAGTTTACGCAAATGGCAGTAATCGGGACGCTGATCGAAATGCATCTGCCGGCAAAAGTTGAGATAATTGACAAACTCGCTGGGGAAGCCCTTGCACAGCACCACAATTGATGTGGACAACTTCTTCTCCGATATGCGTTCATATTTCTGTCGCTTATTCGCTGCCTTTAAGCCCTGCCAGGGCAAGGCGCCCAAATTGAAGTACATGAGGACATAGCCAAGGGATTCGAGATCGTCGCGTCGCGACTGCTCGATGCCCAGATGGGTGTTGATCGAGGCGTAGCGTGCGGTGCCCGTCAGATTCTTGTTTTCCCGATACGGTATGTGCTTGAGGGAGCGGGCATCGCGAAATTTCTTCGCCAGCCCAAAGTCAATTATGTACACGAGATTGCCCTTCTTGCCCAGTCCCATCAGAAAGTTATCCGGCTTGATGTCGCGATGGATGAAGTCACGCGAATGTATATAGTCGATGCGCGATATCATCTGATCCGCCAGGAGCAGCACCGTCTTCAGCGAGAAGCGGCGTGAACAAAAATTAAATAGATCCTCCAGCGATGGCCCCAATAGCTCCATAACCATCACATTGTAGTCACCCTCGCTGCCACACCAAATGATCCTCGGTATTCCAATGCCGCCCTGCATTGTCTTGTAGAACTTGGATTCGATGTGCAGCTGTGGATGTTTGGTGCGTATGCATTCCAATTTGATGGCAACCTCCTCGCCGGTGTTGATCGTTGTGCCCAAATAGATGTCGCCAAAGGAGCCCGAGCCTATTTTGCGGCCCAATCGATATTTATTCCCAACGCGCAGCTCCATTTTTGTCTGTTTTATGTTTGTCTGTGTTGTTTTTGTCTCTTTAAATATTTGTGGCGACCAACAACGTTGCCTGCGTGTGAAAAAGAAGATTAACTTTAATTTTCAATTCAAAAAGTGATTTATTTGAATAATGTATAAAAACCTTGCGCACTCCTTTCGTCTGTTTTCTTTTTGTAAGAAAAACTATTCTTGCTGCTGTTTTTTCCTCTCTTATCTCTATTATTGTATTTTATATTTGTTGTTGTTCCTGTTGTTGTTGGCGTTTCGTGCCAGTCGCTGGAGCTGCGGCTGCTGCAATAGAAAAACAATAGAAAAGTTCTTATTAGTAAATGCTGTTGAAAGTGTTGCACGACACGTTAATTGATATTTTTGCAACTAGGAACTTTATTTTAAAAATTGCCAAAAGTTGTCCTTGTCCAAATTGTGCATAATGATAATTTTTAATATTTTGATATGTTAACGATTATTACAATTTGTTCCTACTCAACCATATTTAAATATAATATGATAATAAATAAGTTTTTAATTGTGACTAGCTCAAAAAGAATATTAAAAATAAAATAATCAGTTGTTTTTAGTTGTTTTTTTCTTACTTTTTTAGTATTTTCAATTGTTCATCATCAGTTCATATTCTCTACAAATTGGCTGTTTTCCGCAGTAAAAGATTGTAAATAAAACATGAAAATAAAAAAATAAATACAAATAAAGTTAAAAAATTAAACAAAACACAAAAATCATATATTTTCCTATTTTAAAGACAGCTTTTAAATAGCCAAAATGTCAGCATTGCAGTCTGTCATTTGCCATCGCAGTTATTTCTATTCTAATCTAGCGGAACATGCAAGTGACTCACACCGACACAAAATTAGTAACTGTGTTTTCGTATTCCGATAAATATGTCTGGCAGTTATCGATTAAGCTGCAGCTGTAAATCAACAACAAAAACAAATCGAAAGAGCTGATTGTGGGCGATGGGGGTGAAGTAGGAGGGGGAGGGGACAACGTGCGATGTGTCAATTAGATAAGAACGCAAAAGCGAAACTATTTTTAACAACAAAAGCAGCGAGTAAAAGACAATTTGTTGCCGTTTTTAGTAGAAAGAAACCAAAAAGTCTGTTATCGGTATCGTTAAGGTTTTTTCTGCATAAAAAATAGCAAAAAGTAGAAGAGAAACAAAAACAGCTCATCGAAATGACGACAACATTTGCATTAAATTAAGCATTAAGCGATGAATCAGCGCAAAACACAATAAACAACGAAAAAAACCCTTTATAAAGATATTCATATGCTTTGCCTGTATGTGTGTGACTGTATGTGTGTGTGTGCGTGTGGGTAAACAATTACAGATTATCAGTTGGAAGAAAAAGCAACAAACAAAAAAATAAAAAAAAAAACCATTTAAATGACACTTTCTGTGGTGAAAAGCACAACACACATACACACACACATATATACATATTTATACACACACACACAAAATGGAGTCGAGCATAGCAAACAGAAAGATCTGAAATCTCAAAAAATTGTTGGGCAAAAAACGCATTTTCTCTCCCCAAATAAATGACAAAATTATGCTTTGTTGTTTTTTTGTTGTTGTTAGTTTTGCTTTCTTCAAATAGAAGACAATTATTATTATTATTGTAGTTATTATTTGCAGTTTTTGCCTGATTCTCCACTTGTCTTTTGCTGCGCTTTCCTTTTGATCGGTGCCCAACAACAACAATATGCGTGTTTATGTGTGTCTATGCTGTGTGTTTTTGACCTGTGAAGCTGGGCCAATTCTAACCTCAAAAGTGGTCACAGAGTTGCTTCCAGTTGTTTGCTTTCTTTGCTTTTGCCTCTGTCTACTTTGATTTATGCATTAACACTCAGCTCATGACTGTCATTTACCCAAAAAAAGTAGCGTTTACCGTTCGTTTTTGTTGTTGGCTTTAATGCACGTTCTAGTTCTGTTGTGCAGGTGCGCAAGTGAGACAGACTCCCACTCGCTCTCTCTTAAGTGCTGCGTGTGTGTGTGTGTATGTGTGGGTGCTGTATGAGAGTAAGCAACAGCTGATCGTGGTGGGAGTGAGTGCATTTTGACAGTTTCTTATTGTTCTTGTTCTCTTGCTCCTTGTGCCGCCAGAGGCAGACATATGACGTATGTCCGTCATGTGCACGTATGTATGTATATGTGTGTGTATGTATACATGTATGTGCGTATGTGTCTATTTTTGTTACGACGTCGCATATGGAAATTTGCGTAGTCTTTTTACAATTGCAAAAAAAAAGCGGCACGTTGCGTTGGCGGACGTCAAAAAGACAATGTAATGGCAAAAAATAATTTAAAAAAAAAAACAGTTGTGCAAACAGACAACTGTAAAAAGCGACGAAAAATGCTAATAAAAAGAATCTATGCAATTAATTTTGAACGTCGACTGCGACTGCGACGCCAGCGTCAACGTCGCTGCCGCAGTCAATGGCCTCCCTGCTGTCGAGGACGAGGCAAACTAACTGTAAAACTGCATTCGTTTTGTTTTTGTTTTTTTCTCTTATAACGGATAACTGTCTGGCTGCAGTCTGAGTGCTGGAGGGAGGGAGAGGGAGATAGAAAAGGAAGAGAGAGGGGGCTTTGTCCTACCTTGGCGGGTTTTGGGAGTCGCTGCGCCGCTGCTGCTGCTGGCGTCGCTGCTAACGTCGCTGCTGCTGCTTGCACTTGACTATTTTTTTTTGCTTGATTTTGCAGCTGAAACATATATATATATATATATTTATTTTTTACTATTGCACAGCTTTTAATTGGATTTCAATTTCACAACAAAAACAACAACGATAAGAAAAAGTAGCAAAGAAGGAAACAAAATCATTTCAACTTTCTTTGTTTTGTTTTTTCTTATTTTCCAGAGCGAGCGAGAGAGAAACACACACACATATATACACATTCAGTCAAATATACAATCAGTAATAATTCGTATTCATTTTAAGCATTTCTTAATATTTTAAGCCATTGGTCAACAATTTTTTTTAACAACTTTTTTTTTATATTTATCTATTATGATTTTTCTTAGCGTTTGCTTTTCTCGCGTTTTCGAGCCGCGCTTTAATGCGTGTATTTACAGTAATGAGAAGCGCCAAAATAATGCACAAATATTTTTTACATTTTGTTAAGATTTCGATTGAGGCAAAAACTACAAAGCGGAGACGACGAAAAAAAAATACAAGCGAGTCGTTTGCCCTGACACACACATACACAAGCGCATGAAGATTGCGCCAATATGGTTGTCCCGCTTTCACGTCTATTGCTTTTATTGCGAGCACGTTGCTAGCCAGCTCGCTTCAGCCCGTTTTCACACCAACACCAGCGCAGAGCAGGCGAGTCAATACGCATACAACGACAGCGACGACGACGACGACGACGAAGCACACATAAAGCGAGACGAAAAAAGACGTAGCCAGCAGCACTGCTGGCAGTGGCCAAAGTAGTCTCTCGTTTTGCTGTTTTACTTGACGCACAATTTGCACAATTTGTGTGCAGAGAGCACATCGGCAACTTACTTTTTGCGCTTCTATTTTCTTGTATTATTTTGCAATTTTGCATAGATGTTTGAATTTCTTTTATAAATTATTTGCTAGAATAAATCTTTGGGAACACAACAACACCAACAACTGGCTCAATTAAAAGTTCCATTTGAGAACCGATTGAACAATAGTGGAACTAATGGTTCACTCAGACTGAACTAACTGCTGAACCATTTCGCTTACACGATGTAATTGTGTTCACCAAAACTTAAACTAAATTTGTATATCGAATTAAAAAAATGCTTCCATTAATAATAATAGAAAGTGAACTAATTTTTGCGCTTAATTGCGTTTTATTTATTATTGTAATGTTTTTGATCTCGCTGTTTTCATGAATGTGCGGTACCAATTTCATGCGAACCAAAAATGTCAGCCCTTGTCGATGAATTGTGGCGGTCGGTCGACTAAGAGTAGACTAATATATCTGCATATCATAGTTTCGTAGCAGCCTGCTTGCAATTGCCACTGTTATCATATACACACACTATTTAGCAAATAATTGTATTTATTTATTTTGACTTATTTTATTTTCTACATAGACATTTTTCTACTCATGCGATTAAATGTAAGCGATATATTTATGTTTCTATTGTTGTGCAATCATTCATAAAAATCGATGATGAAATTCTTAAATTATACTATGGTTTCTATTATCTATGAATTAAAGAAAATAATATGATGATAAATAATTTAATTGGCTAATTTTGTACTCTCTTTCAACGAACGGAACACACGCCCCGCTACAGCTGATTGGCTGCGAAAAAGACAAAGCAAAACAACGGGGCATTAAAGCAACAACACAACAACAAGCAGCCAGCGGCTACGATCTACTCAAACACACACACGCACACATGTTTACAGCATTACATACATTCACACACACACACACACACACACACACAAGCCGATGCACAATTAACGATCTCCGGCGAATCGCAGCCCGAGCCGATGATGGTCAAACGAACGGCACTCAAAACACGAACGCCGAATATCAGGTGTAAAACAATAAAACAAAATGCCGGAGCCAGCGAATGCTTTATATTTGCTTAGACTCTGCTTGTTGTTCTTTTTCGCTTGCGCGTGCATGCAAATGAGTGTTGGAGGGAGATGGCTGTCATTTAATGCGCGTATGCGTGTATTTCCTGACTCTCTCTCTCTCTCTCTCTGCCCTCTTTGCTAAATATTTCCGCAACACATGTCGCACGGCTGTAGAAGTGATCGGTAGATATTTGTGGGGGGGAGGGGGTTTATTTTCTAACACAGGCAACGTCATCGCCATTTGGTTTCGTTTAGTCTGCGAGAGCGAGAGATAACTTCGGCTGCTGCTGCTGCTCGCCCCCCACTCCCCACTGGCGGCGGCTTAGATCAAATAATTTGATTTCATGGCAAGTCGCAAATTGTCAAGCGGTCGTCGCATCCGCTGCTCGCTTCTCGCTGCTCACTGGTCCCGTTGCATTTATCAGCGACCTTTCGGCGCTCCAATTTGATTATGAAAAAACACGATTAAAAACAAAACCAAAAAATAAAGCCTGACAAATTCGTCTACAAAAAACAATTTTCATTTGGCTTTTGGCTTTTTTCTATAACATGCGAAAACAAAATATTTTTTAATTAATTTGATTTTTTATGTTTTGAAGCTTGCTTGCAGCGGGTATTTTGATTTTGTGCTGAAATTTGTAACGGGCTAAGGATAAGAAGCAGTAAAATATTTTTATTAATTGTTATTTTATTTATTTGTTAATTTAATGTGGACTAAAACTATCCCATAATTTTTAGAAAATGTTAAAGAAAATATTAAAATTGTTGCAAATTAGAAGAAGAAATGCGGAAATCTAAAAAAAACCAATCAGAAGAAAATTTATTAATTTTTCATCATCATCAATAGTCAGTCCATTGGATATGTCTCCCTGTTTGTCTATATACTTAACTAAGTGAACTGGTTTAGCTTTAGAGATATCCCGATGAAGCTTGGAATGCGCCTTTCTGTTAAAGGTAGTTTCTATATCGAAATTAGTTGGATTGGACTGATACACAAGAAGATGAATCAGAAAGTATATTTCTTTCATTTTTGAATAAATAAGGTTAATATTTTCATAATGCCAGGCTTGATTTTTCTTCCTGTGTACACAGAACTCGAACTTTAGCTTTTTTGTAACTTATATTATTAATAAAAATTAGTATTTTAATATTTGATATTCACATTTTCTAAATTTCAGTGCGATTAATTTATTTTTTAATGCTTATCAAATAGCTTTAATGAAATACATATATTACCAAGTTAAGATCGTTTAAATAAAATAAGGTTTTTTTTTGTCTGCTTACTTGTCAATTTCACTCAAGACATATTCTTTATTTAAAATTGTGATTCTTAATTTTAGCTGAAAATACTTGATTAAATATTTACATTTCTAAATAAAAAAAGAAATCTTAAATTATGAACCGATTTCGGACTTTCAAAGGGTATTTAAACTTTTTCATTCTGCTTCAGTCTCGCTATTTTTTTATTTTATTTATTTTTTTTGTTCTTGATGCATTTGCATATTTTTGCAATGCGCGTTTTGTTTATCAACAAGGCGGCGTCTTTTGAAGATTTGCCGGCGTGAAAAGTGCTCGAAGGAGGGGGAGAGGTGGGGATTGGTATTGGGTGCCACTTGTTAGATGCTGCCATCGGAATTGCTAGACACGATTCAATTTTCCGAGCAGGGGTTATTGGGCATCGAGTATTATTTCCATTTTGATGCCTTTTATGACACTTCAGTTTTGTTTTTATTTTTTTTCTACGGTTTTTTATCGCATAAAACGCTCATCTGGCGGAGCGGCCTGAAGAGTTTTGTTTTTTCTTCTTCTCCTCGATCGTATCTAGTAGGTATTTATGATTTCGTTTATGCATTTTTGTGTTTTATTGTTTAAATTTTTGACTTTTTATACGCCGGCGGCGTTTGACTTAAAAAAAAAGTTAATTGAGTTGTAAAAATTATAAAGTTGTAAAACCCAGAAACAAGACTTGCCAGCCTCCGAACAAGAAGAAGAAGAAGAAGCAGTAGAAATGCCTGGTAAAAGTCACATTTTGTGTTTTCCAGTTGAAACCAGCCAAGAGAGAAAAAAATCAGGATAGAAAAAATAAACGAAACAAAAGCAAAAAAAAAAAAAACAACAAAAAAACATAAATACGCATCGATTTTTTTTATGGCCCTGAAATGAATAGCGTCTAGTTTCGATAGAGTATTTCTTCGCGTTTTAATACGTTTTTTTTTTGGGGGGGTTTGAGGGGAGGGGTTTTTATGATGTCGTCCATCGTATTCTGTGGTCAAGTTTCAGTAACTCGTGTCGCCTGGCCTTTGACAGAAAGCGTCTGCCCAAAAAATAGATGAGCCATTTAATTCGGCCAGCGAATGCTCAGAGGTGTAAACTGGAAGAAAAAAAAACTATTATCAACTGTGAATTAATATAAATAAGCCCATGAGTTAAAGGCATATAAATATAATGTTGTATAGCTTATAAATAAATATATCATTTACCAGAGTCAAAAATTGTAATAAGAAATTCATCAAATTGTTCTAAGGTTTTTTTTATGTTCATTAATTACATCAAATAGAGAAATTCCCTTTCAATCTTTGATATTAACTCTCCAAAATCTGTCATGTGTGATCAATTTCTTAACTACATTTTAATTTTGTTTATCAGTCTTCAAAAACATTTGAGATAAGCACAAACTTCTTCAACTTGAACTTACTTAAAAGCGTTTAAAAACATAATTCTTTAAAAACTTGAATTAATCCAATAATCGCATTCAAATTTCGATATTCAACATTTTTTTTTTAGAGAATTTCAATCACAACTACAAGCGAAGTATTTTAGATCAAAATATTTTGCTTAAACTTATGTTTTTAAATATAAAAGATTTAATTTTATTGATTTTCTAAACTATATTTTGTACTCTGAACCCATTAAAAATGTGAAAAATGTGAATTTGTGCAAAAATATTTAAGAGGCAGTTGGATGCTTCTCCGAACCCAAGAACCGAGTCAATTCAATTCAAATTCGATAAATAAATAAAATATAATATATTACAATATAATAGTAATAAATAATCGATTGCAACAATTTTATTTATGATAGGAGATTTTATTAATCAGAACTTATTTTAATTGATTTGCTATCAATCAGCAATCGTGCCAAGTATTCAAAAGGTTATCTGCTAGCCAAGCTGTCTCGATTATGGCATACCAATTTGCTTAGTCAAGCAAAAGTTCCCATAAATATATATATATATATATATGTATATATATATCTCATTCCCTCTATCAAAATATCTCCTTTCATCAACTTGGGATTGGCTGGTTATCGATTTTGTGCACCTTGATGTTCCTTTCGCTGCAATCTTATCGAGTGCACCATCTAAATACAGCTGCAACAAGTGGCCATCCAAACTGTATTCTTCTACTTCTGCTCCCTCCCACGTCTGCCTCTTTTAGATACGATCCACCCCCGACGCTGACGATTGAGGCGATTGAGGTGTCATAAATCCACATGTGGCTGTAAAGTGTTACTAATTTCTGTTTCTATACTTTCAACTTCTTGCTGCTCTTTCTCTCTCTCTATTTTTTGTCACCCGATCGCTTGTGGCCTCCTTGCCCCTTTGCCCCAGCTAATTTCACACGAGCATGTTAATGTTTACACGCGTACCGCGATTTTTATGTGTTTGTGTGTCTGTGTGTGTGTGTGTGTGCTCGCCCCCGCTGCCGGCACATTCAGCCCCAGTTCCATCCAGACTGACAGACAGACAGACAGACGGAGAGTCAGCCAACCAACGGCGTCTTGAGCTTATCTTGCCTCAGTCCGGAGCCGAGTGGCGAGTTCGTTGTCGAGTCGCAGTTCAGTCGCTGTTTGTCTGTCGATCGTGTCGCGTCGTTTTGTCAAATTATCTCTCTCTCTCACACACACATTCTCTCTCTCTCTCTCTCTCTCTCACCCACACATGGGTGTTCAGTGATCTATTTGATTTGCATTTGTATCTCGAACTATAGCTGCAACTGCAACTGAGTACAGCCGTTGATCGGTTTAAAAAACAAAATAAAAATGAGCGCAAATTCAAATGAGGAACGCGCCAAGCCTGTGGAGACTTTGGTCCTGGCCAACTATGCTCTGAAGGCGGAACAAAAGAGAGCCGCTGGCCAAGGTGGACGCAAAGAGGATGAGCGCATTACCAGCGCCGTGATGAAGGTCCTCGAGGGCTACGACTGGAATCTGGTACAGGCATCCGCCAAGTAAGTCAAGTCAGCCTTAAGGTCTTACTACATCCTTGCCAGAAATCAAATTGGTCGGATTTTATTTGGAAAATAACTCATTAGATCTTTACCCTAGACTATTTCAGTAATTTTCAATCTGCTCATTTATTATTACATTTTTGAGTTATGATTTTTTAATATAATTTATTTTTAATTTAAATACAATTCTTAAATTTGAACTCAAAATAATGCGTAACAGTTTGCAATTTATTTTAGTATATTTAATATATTTAAATTCATATTTTCGGCAGCAAAAAATACCAAAATAAAAAAATAATCTTCAGTTTTAATATTGTTCCAAATATTATAATGGATAATTATTATATACTCGTATTCTTTCCATAGACTGCGTGGATTAAATGTAATACTTACAATCTGAACAAATTTACAATTATCAATATAGGAATAAAGTGAAGCAATTTTTAATTAAATTTTTATTAAATTAAATTTTACAGATTTGCAAAAAATAGCTTTTGATATTTGTTGTGATGCAGTTTTCTCATTAATTTGCTATATTTATATTCATATTTATGACAACAAAAAAGACAAATCCTTTTACTGACTCCACTAATAAATTACTCCCCAATTTTGCTATGAGTTTGCGAATTGAATTGATTTTTTATATATTATAATTCTTTAAAAAAATTGCAAATATTTAAATCTGCAGCTTTTTTGTAATAAAATTTGCATGGGATATATATCTAATTATTAATTTGGTGGAACAGGTTTCAATTGAGTAGATTAATAGGAACTAAGCATCCAAAATATATTCCGGGTTAATATAATTTTTTTTCCCACTAAATTATAAGATATATATAATATAACACTTTATATAGGACACTTTTTAAATGTGAATATAAAATTGGAAAAGCTTTTAAGCAAAAACATCAAAAATTCGTTTTAGATATTTAATTTGAAGTACTACGCAAAATGCACGTGGCTTCAAATAAGTTTATAATATTACAGATTAAATATTAATATCGATAAGGAATTACTGAACTACAATTCCCTCAATAGTAATCTTCCATGGATCTGCCACGGTAACCAGAGATTTATGAATGACTAAGCGTGGCGCTGTTCTTCCCGCTAATTAGCACAGTTTTATGTTAATGTTGTTGTTGTTGTTTTTTTTTATATTTTAATGGATAAACAAACTTGGCGAACCGCAAAGTCGGCAAGTAGTAGTAGAAGAAGAAGTTGCAGGCAGCATCACAAACGAAACAGCGACATATGTAAATTCACATTTTAACACATAGAGTTGTGTGCCAGCAATCTATATACATATATATATATATATATCTATATCTATATAGTATACATTGTCTGGTAAAAAAAGAAGCGAAGAAGACAAAAACAAAAACCACAACAAATACAATAAATGTGCGGAGAAACACGTTCAGAATGAAGACGACAAATCAATTCAGGCATAAAAAGCGAATAAATATGTTTTTAGCATAAAGATGTTAACTGCTAACAAGCTGGCCATACATTGAATGAGAGAAAGAGACTGCTGAGAGGGGTGTGGAGAGTGGGGAGAGATGCGGGGGCATGCTCTGGCAGGTGTAGACGTTGATGTGAAAAAAAGAGCCAAAACCAGTGAAAAATTCAGTCCACACTGGCATCGTTGACACTTGGATGGGTTCACAACAAGTTGGCGCCACAGAAACAGCTACTTTTAGCTGCAAGTCGTGAGAAAGAGCTGACGGCGGCCTCTCCGTGTGATCCCTGTGATCCTTCTGCTCCAGCTAGCCCGCTAGCCAGCCAGTCCAGCTTCTTTCACTATTTATCCAGCGTTTAACGCAGCGACTGCTGACTTCCAGTTTGCAATTATTTTTTCAAGAGAAATATAAAAAAATGTTATTCAAATTTGAAATATAACTGCTGAAGAACAAATAGCATCAGAATAAAAATCTATTTTTGTTTTTAAAAGATCTAAACACCAATATATATATTTATGTATTCTGTGTAGGAGTTAGTTAAATCAATTATTTTTTCTATGCAAATATTAAGTGGGATTTGTCTTGAACTGAAGACTCTTTTAGCAAAAGTTAACAGCAAATAAAAACAGTGCTACTTATTTTATTTATTTTATACATTTTTTAGAGTATGTATTCCCAATACTTTTTATTAAATTAAAGCAAAGTTTCGATAACGATGACATAAGTCAATTTTTTTAAATAAAATAAAAATGATAAGAGTGCAATTTTATTGTTGGCACTGTAATCACATATTATCTTATATTATCTATAAGATATCTAATAGGAAATTTAATTTCCCATATCGCTGGAATTTATTTCTTATATAACACAATAAATACATCTATTTTTAAAACGAGAGCACATAAAGCAAAATACTGCTGAATAATGCAGTGAATAATACTTTTAATCCATTAGTAATTATGCTGTTGTGCATTAAGTGTCCAACTCGCTTATCGTTTTACAGGCAGCTCTGCTCAGCTGGTCCTCGTCGCGTCCAAGTTGAGGAACATCCTTGAATTCTGCCATTTTCTGTTTATTGTTGCAAAAGCGCAATCGCTGTCAAGAACACGTGTGTGTTTGCACAAGGATATGGAGCTGGGGGAGGGGCAGGGGTGCGGGGTGCGGGGTGCGGACAGATTTCCTTTATCTGCACAACATAACGGCTGGCTGACTGGCTGGTTGACACTTCCGAGCCAGGCCAACCCCACACCCTACACCCCGCCCTCTACCCCTTTACACACACTAGACATTGTTTATCTAGCGCTTTATGCGCCTGTTTATTTTTGCTTTAAATCGCTTCAAAATGCTCATACACAGCCCACAACGACCCCCCTTCCCCCTGGTAGGGTGACTGTAGGGTGGAGGGGGGGGGGTATGGAGTTTTATATGTACTTAGCCTCTGTATCCGGCGGGAATTAAATATTTGATAGCTTACAAACTTTTTGTAAATAACTTGTGTAATGTTTATAGAGTTTTTACAGATTGCCGGCAAAATGTTTATTGACTTTTAGTAAAGGTAAATAAATGTTACCATTTAATAGTGAAATAAACAAACTTCTATTACCAAAATCACAGTATCTTAACAGAAGAGCAGTTACATCCAAAGTTTCCGCGATCTGAACGGCAATAAATAATAATAAATATATTTTTCATTTTGTATTTAATACCTTGATTATTCAATTTTAATAAATTGTAGATATAAATAATGGAATAATAATTTAAGTGCATAAAAAGTGGAGTTGTTCCTTCGAATATAAATGTTACAAAAGTTTATAGCGATATTCCTTGATAACTGTTCTCGTTTGATTTTTTTGTTACCTTGTGAATTTGTTCATCAATTTTCAAAAACATTTTCAAATTGGTACATTTTGATGATTAAATTGGAAATTAATGCAAACTTTTTCAACTTCAAATCGAACCAAATTGAGTAGCAAAAACTATTTCGAAACAAAATTCTTTACATGTTTTTTGAGTCTCATTCATAACTACAAGCGAAAGTTGAGATGTACTTGGGTGTTAATTGTATGGTTAGCTCTGCTTAAACTTATGTCATTAAATATGCATTTACATTTTTTGCTCATCTTTTTATTTTATTATAACCTGAAGCCATTAAAAATGCGAAAAGTTGTGCAAAATTATGCAACAAACAAAATAAAGCACAGCCGACGCCTAAAGCATATATATATTCTTCATAATTCATTTTTTATTGCTCAAGCTGAATAGATCTATTATGGTAATATATATTGAATATATAATTTGACCACAACTAGAAATGTAAAGTGTTTTTTGAACAAAACAAACAAACAGTGTGACAACTTTGAATGGTCTAATTAAATTGAGCTGTGATCTTTGCCGGCTGCGTGAGAGAATTGCGATGCTTCACCTGGATTTTTATAGCACTTGAAGTGAAAACCGCAACATTTTATATGCCCCAACAATTGTTAATCATTCTGCGAGTGAGTCATTAAAAAAAAAAAATTATATATATATATATCAGTGGTAATAATAATAAGCTAGCCAGTTAACCACTTGAGAAGCTCGTCGATAGGCGTTTGCTTAATTTTGTTTTTTATGTTATCGTTTGGCGAGGCGCAATTTCTGTCGCTTTGGAGTCGCCTTTGAATATGCCACTTATCACACACACATCACCCCATAGACCCCAATTTGTAGTTGGCTCACATTTGAGCGCCCTCCTGAAGGAATAGCTTCGGGGTTCTGCTCACACTTTTTCCTTCTCTTCTTGACACGTTGATTAGATAAGACGCTTAAGTTGGCGACTTTGGGTTATGCTTCGGTATGTGTTATAAATAATATATTGCTTATCTCTCTTTCAAAGAATTCACCCCTCAGGTGGGGTGCCTGCGCTGATATCATCGTGCGTGGTCTAAATATGTATTTCTCTTTTTCTTCTTTTATTTTATTTATTTCTTTTTTTTTTTTTTGGGGTGCGCTTAGCCGCCCAGTCAATTTACATGCTCAGCATTGGAATAACATCAGTCGTTTCCCTAAACCAACACTAAACTTAACACAACTCAACTCGACAACTTGTGAGCTAAAAGTGGGCGCGGCCAAACATGTCCGTCCACGTCCATCAGTCGCGTCAATCCCAACAACGAATATGAACGTAATTAACTGGGAAAAGGTTTCTGATTGCAGACATATGAATATTAAATTTGTATAGTAAAATCGATAATATATTGTATGCTTTTTAGTTTGGCTTTTGCGAGGCAGGCGAGCGTTGCTAAGAAGGGATTTAAAAATGTGATTTAAAAAATAATTAAGAAAACATTTCATTTATTTTTGGCAGATTACGAAATGGGGTTTCTTGAATGCAACATAACAATCAATTTACTCAGTTTTGAATCGTTTGATTGACTTTAAATAATATTACTCAAGTACAAAGACATAAATAAGGAATGTAAAAATATTAAATTAATGCCGTAAATGTAAAAATCCAAAACTAAAAGTAGCGTTTCTTCAGTCCTATAAAAATGACCAATT